ATCATTGCAAGTACTTTTTAAATCCCGAAAATATCCCTTCGTTTAATAAATGAATTTGAATAGCCCGCCAAATAATTTAGTTCGCGAAGAAGGTTTACTCCAACCGAAGATGGCGGTAGTGCATAAAGCGTTACACCCCAATACATGGCAGTGTCGACCCCCTGAGCTCAAGTGCGCAAGACGCGTTTCTCTCAACACACGACGCTGTGAGTTTCTCGCTCAAAAATGTATTTGGCTCGAAACTGCACTGAGTTTCTTGATTAAGATTAAGATTATCGGCACTGTGCTTGATGAGTCGTGTTGAACTCCTGTCATAGCGTCCTTTTTTTCAACATTTACGTTTACTTGCCATCGAGAATGGATGTTAGTATCTTTTTAGCATCTCATCTACCCAAATTAATATAACCAATTAAAAAATTAATGAAGAATCACATAAAAATAAGGAAACGAAAATAAATGAGTAAAGTTATTAAAAATAAATGGTACTGCTACGTTAAATTATTAGCATTATGGTGCTCTAGTAAAGAATTAATAACTGTACCATTTATTTGCTTATTTTTATAAATTTATTCATTTAGTTTCCTAATTGTATAATTTCCCGATTATTTTTTTAACGAGTTAAATTAATGTGGACAGATAACACGCCAAATAGATACTAACATACATTCTTGATGACAAATAGTCACAAATGTTAAAAAAAAAAAAGGATACGGTAACAATAATTGAACACGCCCCAGCAAACTTAGCGCAGTTGTTCCAACCACTCCAACAGCAGGTGAATGAATGAATAAATGAATGAATAGTACTTTGTCCTTGATATATCTATGGTATATAATGGATATCTATGAATTTTTAATTTTAATTACTCGAGATTTAAGGTGAAGTAAAACCCTCCTCAAATCAGTCGATTCGAATAAGTCAATTTATTATGAGAGTATTGAACCGCACTGTATGAAATTTTTACGTATGACACATGTGGACTTAGAAATTATCCTGATATTTTCAAAATTTAGATTTTCGAAGAAAATGTTTCAACTTAGTCCAGACCAGAACCAAAAATGGCGTCGAACTCTCATATTTCGATCGATATACAATTATTGAGGGCTCTAATATTAAAAAAGAAAATGTCAGGACAATTGTACGACAATTTAGAACACTCTGGTAACCGAGAAACTCGCATTTGAATGAGGTAAAGGTAAAAAAAGTGTCTTATGCGCTTCTATGTTAAAACTATGGTAATATGAGGTCTCGGAGTGAAAATTTAGTTGACACAGAAATCACAGGTGGCGCAGGGAGTCACTTTGCAGTCAATTAGGGCCTCAGAAACAATAAATCCAGAAGATTTCTGGTGTTTTACTTCGATTTCTTTATAATTGTTGTACGAAAACGACAGGCGGAGTATGCCATTTAGTACAATACCCCATATAATTCGACACAGCTGTCAATATAAAAACGAACGTCGGCAACGTATGTATTTAGAAAAATCTTCTTTACCGACGTCGATCAAGTTCCTAGATCTGTTTCACTTCACCTTAAGACCCATTCGATCGAACGCTCAGACACGTCTTCATATTTTGGCTCTAGATTAACTGGTATAAAGCTTGTTAACATCCCCGACCCGATTGATGAGGCCTCTCCATATAAGTTAAACTTATAACATTATTGCCCCACATGACACTTATCGGAATCGCAAATCACATTGCAAATGCATGTCATTTCGGTAAAGTAATGATAAAGAGATCGATGTAAAACTGTCGAAATCCCTTGAATTCATTATTCTAACGACTGTTTAGAACCAACGTCGCCATCTGTGACGTTTAGGTACAACTAAACTTTTCCTCTAAAAACGTGTTTACCACGAGACAAGCCAGCATTCTCCTGCAATCGTTGGGGAAAGTATTTCCCATATTTTCCCATTTGACTCTGTTTATTCCATTTCTACGGTATTCTAAATTGTTCGAGCTAGATCCTGAAACTCTGTATTTTCGATTCCAAGCCTCCAAGAAAAGGTAAAACATCGAAAACGTACACGGAACACGTCATGTTGGTTTTAGTCCATGATAAGTAAATCAATTTTTAATGAAAAATTCAGAAAATTTCATGCGTTTCAGGACCTACTTTGGCGCCTCCATATTCACGTGGTAAAATTTGAAACGAATCGGTACCCCCAATTCGGAGAATACTTTCACCAATGATTTGATCTCTTGGATATGTATAGGCTGCCTCTTTCATATCACCTTAAGGTGAAGTGAAACCCCCTTCAAATCAGTCGATTCGAATACAACACTTTTTTTTAAAGGGTATTAGACCAAACTGTCCGAAACTTTGACACATCACTCCTGATCATCTAAGAATTGTCCTGACACATTGAAAATTTGGATTTATGGAAAAAATTTTTTAACTCAGCCCAGACCAGAACCAAAATGGCATCGAGCTCTCATATTTCGATCAATACACAATTATCGAAGGCTCTGATATAAGAAACGAAAGGGTCAGGACAATTTTACGACAACTTAGAACACTCTGATAATCGATAAACTCGCATCTGAACGTGATAAAAACAAAAAAAGTGTTGTATGCGCTTCTATGCTAAAACGATTGGTCTCGGGGTGATAATTTAATTGACCTGGAAATCACAGATGGCGCAGGGTGGTCCCTCTGCAGTCAATTAGGGCCCCGAAAAGCATGAATCCAGAGGATTTCTGGAGTTTTACTTCGATTTCTTTATAATTATTGTACGAAAACGACAGGTGGAATATGCCATTTGGTACAATACACAATATAATTCGACCCAGCTATCAATATAAAAACGAATGCCGGCAACGTAGGCATTTAGAAAAATCTTCTTTATCGACGTCGATCAAGTTCCTCCACGTGTTTCACTTCACCTTAAGAAATAACAGAAGTTCCGGATGAAATTATCTGGTGACTTTTTAAAGGCTACTCACTTTTCAGGTAAAGAGCTTCCTGAGGACAGCCAGTGGTTGTGTCGCCGAGAATGCATGCCTTGTACTTGGAGAAGAGGCGCTGGTTGTCTATGATGCTCTTCGTGTCGATGCTGTCCCATTTGCTAGTGTATTGTCCTTGGCTATTTTGAGCGATGACCACGGTGACTGCACCGAGCAGCACAAAGGCGAAATTCCTCATCCTGATTTCTCTAAATCTCCTTCGAGAGTATTTCGAGCTGACGCAGTCTTGCCTTGCGAGTGACGGCTGCATTCGGCCATTGTCCGTATTTATACCGGATACATTTCTTACGTCGATGAGTAACGCTTCACCATGACCCTGAACTGTGGTACAGGGAAAACTGAGGACTGGTTCTGGACTGACAAGAATGTGGCAAATCGAAAAAAATAATTCTTGACTTGTTTAGAGGTTGGGCCAAGACCTCCTTCCAAACTGACAGGACTTGGCCGATTCCTTGAGACGAACGTGAATGTATGCGTGGATTTTTGTCTAATCCTTTCCATCATAGGAACATGTAGGGGAGACCGAGGTCAAATGTAACACGGTGCACTTCTAACAAACGTTATAAATTATTTGTTCCAACTTGAAAAAGCGTGGTTAAGGTGAAGTGAAACACGTCGAGGAACTTGATCAACGTCGATAAAGAAGATTTTTCTAAATGGCTACGTTGCCGACGTTCGTTTTTACATTGACAGCTGTATCGAATTATATTGGGTATTGTACCAAATGGCATACTCCATCTGTCGTTTTCTTACAGTAATTAAAAAGAAATCGAAGTAAAACTCCAGAAATCCTCTGGATTCATGCTTTCTGGGGCCCTAATTGACTGCAGAGAGACCCCCAGCGCCATCTGTGATTTCCAGGTCAATTAAATTTTCACTCCGAGACCTCGTATTACCATCGTTTTGGCATAGAAGCGCATACAACACTTTTTTTGTCTTTATCCCATTCAAATGCGAGTTTATCGATTACCAGAGTGTTCTAAATTGTCGTAAAATTGTCCTGACCCTTTCGATTCTCATATCAGAGCCTTCGATAATTGTATATCGATCAAAATATGAGAGCTCGACGCCATTTTGGTTCTGGTCTGGGCTAAGTAAAAAAATATTTTCCGAAAATCCAAATTTTAAATGTGTCAGGACAATTCTTAGATGATCAGAAGTGATGTGCCAAACTTTCGGACAGTTTGGTCCAATACCCTTAAAAAAAAGTGTTGTATTCGAATCGACTGATTTAAAGGGGGTTTGAAGGGGGGGGGGGTTAAAAGGGGTTGATGATCTCTGAAGGATACACACCAAATTTTAAGATCGAAATTACGATGTTAAGTTACAGCCAATTTAGTGCGACACTTCCAATTATTATTTACGAGGGACGTAGCTGTTGTCTTCACAAATGTAAAAACAGTCTAAATAACTGTAAAGATATCCGACCAACGCATGTCAGAAATCCTCAGTTATGAAATGAAATCTACAATTATTTTAGATGCATGATAGACGATATACGTTTGCTGTACCTGTTCTAGACCTAATTTAGACGAGTAATATACGGATATTGTATTTCGTGCGGTGCCTGGGATGTTAATGAAAATAATTCAACTATTTATCAGCGAAGTTCATTTTTAGAATCGATCCATATTTATTATTCTGACTTCTTTATTTATATGCGTTTTTAAGTGATATGTCAAACGGATGACATGAAATCTAGCGAAATGAATTTAAATTCGTGTATTTTGAATAATTTACGCAAATTATTTGTATAGTATAGTATAATTATTATATATATATTTTATTTTATTATTAGTATTTTGCATTATTGACGCAAAAAAAAATCGACGTTAAGGGGAAATTGCTGTTTCCGATTCGCTCAATATAAAACTCGAAGGAAATTCCTCCATAAATTGCGGCAGGCATTCATTGAATAAAAAATTGATAAAATAAGTTATTTGATTAAAATTCATACGGCCGCTTGTTGAAGGATAAATTTACGAATATGTCCTTGAATAGGCATGTACTGTGTATGTAATCGGTATCGCAGACGGAATTGCTCGTAAATTTCCTGGAAATCTTAATTCTTTAATACTTTCTTAAATACTTTATTGTTAATAAAACTTGAGCTAGCATTTTATTCTACAGACTTCTGTCATAATTTTACCAGACTACAAATATTCTCATGTTGCAAAATTCGAGACCTATTATTAATTGAAGTTCCAATGATCCGGTTCCAGTTCGATTTTTAATAAAATTCATATTGTACACTTCTTCCTGTAACTAGCCTTAGAATTGTAATACCAAAGCCAACCCCAGTAGCACAAAATATTTATCTTATGTTATCTATATATTTAACGAATATCGTACATTTTGTAAATATTTAGCAGACATTTGAATTATTTGCCAAACCTTTACTCTAGAATATTAATTTTATAATATTTGTATAATATTAGCTTCATATTCTTCCGTAATATTTTTCTTACAGATACACAGAAACATTTCGTTACATTTTAATACAAGTGTTTCTTACATATCATCTGCAGAGTACATTATATACGCTTTACAAATATTTAAAATAAAAATCACACATTCTGTTACCATAATGAAATAGCAGAACGAATACGTTGCAAAAATTTGTCGTGTTTTTTAAAATCAAATAAAGTGTCCAATAATCATGGTATAGTAAAAAATATATTTTATATGTTCATAATTAAAAAATATAATTTCGAGACGTTTCTAAATTATTAAAACTAAATATGTCACTGAGATTTTCAACAAACGTTTCAGGTATGTTCAAATGAAATCTACAAGAGATCTTAAAAAAATCTGTCGCTTAAGATATTTATAATAAAGCCGAAGGAATATTTAGAAAATAGTCTATGCTACCAGGGAAATTAAGAAGGTACAAAAGTTGCGGATTAATTCAACGTGAATTACGTGACCTGTTTACCTCGCAAATCGCAGATAATACAACCGTCCCCAAAATGGGTCTCCTTGGAGTGACGTTCCTGAAAGGCCCAGGAAAGACGAAAGGAAAAAAGGTTAAAAAGCAATTCAAGCAAGAATTCCTTCGAAGTCAGGCGAAAGGAGGAAAATTTTGCAGTAACTGCGGACGAGTGATATGCATGGATAAGAATATCACTCTCAAGGAAAGTTCCGAAGACCGCGACTGGAAAAGTATTTCGGTCGCAATAGGCAATTCGGTTCGAAAGGGTTCAAGGATGTTGAGAAAACATTTTACTGTTCTATACAAAATTTGTCTCAATCGGCATTTAAGGTGAAGTGAAACACCCTTCAAATCAGTCGATTTGAATACAACACTTTTTTTTAAGGGTATTGGACCAAACTGTCCGAAACTTTGATACATGACTCATGACCATCTAAGAATTGTCCTGACACATTGAAAATTTGGATTTTTCAAACAAATTTTTTAACTAAGCCCAGACCAGAACCAAAATGGCGTCGAGCTCTCATATTTTGATCGATATACTATTATCGAAGGCTCTGATATGAGAATCGAAACGGTCAGGACAATTTTACGACAATTTAGAACACACTGGTAATCGATAAACTCGCATTTGAACGGGATAAAGGCAAAAAAAGTGTTGTATGCGCTTCTATGCCAAAACGATGGGAATACGAGGTCTCGGAGTGAAGATTTAATTGACCTGGAAATCACAGATGGCGCAGGGGGTCCCTCTGCAGTCAATTAGGGCCCCAGAAAGCATGAATCCAGAGGATTTCTGGAGTTTTACTTCGATTTCTTTATAATTATTAAACGAAAACGACAGGTGGAGTATGCCATTTGGTACAATACCCAAAATAATTCGACGCAGCTGTCGATATAAAAACGAACGTCGGCAACGTAGGCATTTAGAAAAATGTTCTTTATCGACGTCGACCAAGTTCCTCGACGTGTTTCACTTCACCTTAAGGTAAAGAATGTAGGGAATGTGAAAGAGTCCATCTATTTTTGCTAAGGACCGATTGGCCTAGGAAAGGAGGAGATAGTTGTATGTCAAAAGAGGTTCCTGAAATCTGAAGATAAAAGTGAATAATATCTTCTAAAAATATGTTGAAACGTGTGAGGACGATGAAAGAGGTAATATTTTAATCGTTAAGTTTTGTATCTGTAACTTTAATTATATGTATGGGATAGATATGCTGATAGAGAATCAACAAATTCTATGGGTTATTTTAAAGGGATCATCGATATCTGTGGAGAATCGATTGCAATTAATAATCGAGGGCATAAAATAAAAAGGCGATGAAAAAGGAAGTAGTTTGTCAGGATGTTAAAGGGCTATAATCTTCTAAAAATATGTTGAAAAGTGTGAGGACGATGAAAGAGGTAATATTTTAATCGTTAAGTTTTGTATCTGTAACTTTAATTATAAGTATGGGTTAGATATGCTGATGGAGAATCAACAAATTCAATGGGTTATTTTAAAGGGATCGTCGATATCTGTGGAGAATTGATTGCAGTTAATAATTGAGGGCATAAAATTAAAAAGGCGACGAAAAAGGAAATAGTTTCATAGGACTTAAAAGGCTATACCACTGTGAACATCGAAAAAATTACACATTTTTGACAATTTTTTTCTCAAAAAATACTGCGCATAATGGTACAAACTTTTTTCCCATGTAAGGTCTAATGTAGGAGAATTCAAGAAAATTTCTCTTTTTCGTAAGAAATACATATTTATTTATTTATTCTTACAATCGTTGAGAAGTAAAAAAAAATTGTTGCTGGCGCAGATTATTGAAGCCCTCCTGGTGATTTGAAACAAAAAATTGAAAAAGATTCTTAATCTGTAAGGCCGTCGCTATCGCACGCAACGTGGGTATTTAGAAAAATCTTTTTTACTGACGTAGATTAAGTTCCTCGACGTCTTTCACTTCACTTTAATCGCCTACTCTTTGCGATATTACTCGGAAGACATTAATAAATGATTGGGTAGGCGGAGAAAAGTACTACCCACTGAACACCAAACCTAGCAGTTACGTAACTTAAAGCTGACAAATAACATAACGTTTGTTACAATGTAATAACCTCACAGTTACGTAACAGAGCTAACTAGTTACATGACATTTGTTACTATCATATCTATATAAATGTAGCATAACTTTGTTACTCTCATCTTACATTACGTTCCTGTCCTGATATTACTGTGTATATGCAGCACATATTTGAAATAAAACAACTACATTGGTGCTGTCATTTATTTTATTATATCATCGTCATGGTCATTG